CCCAGGGAGCTTCTTGGTAAATGAAAAGACTCAGCTAGGTTTGCATCCCAAACGAATAATCCGAGCAAGGAAACCCAGGGAAGAAGTTAAGCAATGAGAGAATAGGGTTAGGTTGCAGAGAAAGCCTCAATCCAGCCCTGTGTGTAATATCTTTAAATTTTTGCCAAAAGATCATTTTCCTGCAGCCTATGTGTGAATGTAGGCAATTAATGTTAGCATTTAAATTGAATAGAGTGGTGCTTTTAGTAGGAAAGTGAGAGTCACCCAAGGCCAGGAGTTACAAGTTAAGCCTGACTGAAGTACACTGGGGAGGCAGTTGACATGGGGATGGGATAAAGAACATGTCTTTGTCTTGAATCCATAATGGACTCCTGGCCCAGCTGTTTCTCTGGAATTTGGGGGAAGCTTGATCTCCCCCATGCCATCCCCACCTCCATGAAATATCTTTGTGTCTGCCCTCTCTTAGCCTTATCATTTCTTTCCAGGAGGCAGCCAGCACCACCAGGCTCCTGGGAGCAGCTGCCACAAGTGACTGTAGGGATGGGTGTAGGAGAAAATAACAGCTAGAAGGCAGTTGGGACAATGTAATCTGTGTCCTTGATGGCCAGTATCAAAAGACCTTGGTCATTCAGTCATTCAACAATTATCAATTGAGTTTCTGCTGTGTGCCAGGTGGTGGGCTGAAAGGAAGTTGCACAGGCCAGAAATGGAATCAGAGTCTCTCACATGAGTACCCCCGCTGGCTCCCTGCTGCAGCAGAAGTTAGCGGTTGACCCCTGTGACAATTGGTGCGCTGCTGTAACATCCACTTCCTACTGTGGCTTGTCTTCTTCCCTTGGCTTAGATGAAAGATGGAGAGGGATCAGAAAGATGGCATTGCTAGGTGCCGACAGGTGGAATCCCAGGTTGTCTCTAACTGGGGAAGAACTTTGTACAGGATTCATTCCCGAGTAGTTCACCCATCTCCTCCCCAAGACGTGCCCCAGTCACTGAACACAGTCATTAGGTTCTCAGCGGTTCATCTGGCTCTGGGTGGATACCCTGCCTCAGAACTTCTGTCTTTTTGCTTAGGCAAGATGTATCCATTTATTTAACAAACACTGAATGTGTTCCAGACAGTGAGCCCAGAACCCTGTGCTGAGGACACCTGGACAAGAGGACAAACAGGATCCCTGACCCACGTGCTTCCCAGCGTAGTGGGGAGGACAAAGAACAATCACGTGGGCCATGAGCAAACCAAATGACTGTCCCTCTTGTGGTACATGTGATGAGGAAAACCAGAAGGACACTATGATGGAGAGTGACAGACTGTGTCATACGGTATTTCTATTTTTAGTTTTTTGAGGAACCTCCCCACTGCTTTCCACAGAGGCGAGCATTTTCTTCTTCACTGAGCACGCGCACACACACACGCACGCACACACAGTTCTTGCATCATTCTTTGAACCAGCTTGGTCATGCTGTTTGTCTCGTTAACATCCTCACCGTGTAGTGGTGCGGGAGTGATGAGTCCACCATTTTGGAAACTGGGTTGTAGCCTTCCCTTTGGTGGGGGACGCTCTCTGAGGAGGAGCAGGTAAAGGCTACACCTGAAGGATGAGCCAGCCGGGCAGGAAGCGGCTCAGAGTCGTCCTGGCACTCAGAACAGCAGGGGCAGAGGAGGAAGGACAGTGGATCTCCTAGAAGCTGTAAAGGCCTGGATGGAGAAAGGGGGGATTGAAATACCAGAGGTGACTGAACCGGGAGGCAGAGGCCAGGCAGGCCAGAGCTTCGATATTTACTATAAATGTGGAAAGAAAGCCTTTTAAGTGGCTTCCCATCAGAATGGTCTCCCACTGAAAAACACTTTATCCTGTTACAGTTCTGACCGTGGAATAGGGACTGCGTGGAAGCGGCAGAATAGAAGCACGGAAACCAGGTAGGAAGCTATTTGGTAGTCCTGGTGGGAGGCGACTGTGGCTGTGCTGGGGTCCTGCTCCCGAGGGGAGAACTGATGGATTCAAGATATATTCTGGAAATGTTATGGAAAGGCCTGCCAATGGGTTGGGTATGGGGAAAGGTCAACCTGTCCTAGACCCTCTGGGTAAGAGGTTAATTGCTCTTCTACCACCTTCTGTTCCCACACACTGAACCTGAGGTGGGCGTGGAAGGTTCAAAACAGGACCCAAGATTGAAGACCCAAACCCAACCACATTCAGGATGCAAAATCTAAGTCTGCTAGGCCAGTGATTAAAGTGGTCTTACTATGTAAACAGAAAAGAAGAAACGTAGGAATTTTTAAAAAGTGGCTTTTAATGATACAGATCAAATGAATATGTAAACCGTTTTTAGTAGCATAAAATAGATCGAGTAGTTTTCTTTCTAAAGAAAACTCCCACTGCCCCCTCACTCATCGCTACCAAACCCGTGCCCTCCCCCAGAGGACAGTGTTTGTAGGAAACAGGACACAGAGTTCAGTAGTGGTCAGTCGTTACTTACTAAGCATCCATGACCCCACCAAAGGGAAGGCTACAACGCAGTTTCCAAATTGGTGGACTCATCACTCCCGCACCACTACACGGTGAGGATGTTAACGAGACAAACATCAGCATGACCAAGCTGGTTCAAAGAATGATGCAAGAACTGTGTGTGTGTGTGTGTGTGTGTGCGCGCGTGTGTGTGCGCGCTAAGTGAAGAAAAATGCTCGCCTCTGTGGAAAGCAGTGGGGAGGTTCCTCAAAAAATTAAAAATAGAGATACCATATGACACAGTAATTTCACTTCAAGGAATTTACCCGAAGAAAATGAAATCCCTAATTTGAAAAGATACACGCACCCCATGTTTATTGCCGCATTATTTACAATTGCCAAGATATGGGAGAAATCCAAGTGCCCATCAATAGATGAATGCTGGCTCCAGAAGCTTCCTTCTTGCCTGTCCATTTTTATACTTGTAAACTTACCTAGTTTCTCTGTCACTTTTCTGTCTCGGACCTCATTGAGGAAACCTGCAGTGGGGAGAAGCCGTGTACACATCCAACACTGGGGAAGAGGTCCCACAGGTGGGACCATTCATCCCTCCTCACCCACCTGATGGGAAGGTTCTCAAGGCAGAAAAACCCCAACCCCCAGGCTTGAGGGAAGGTCTGTATTTACAGCCCTACTGAACTGACGGACACTTGAGCTGGTGAGACATTCTGCAAACATCCTGATTAAGTCAACTTCAGCCCATTCACATGGGGGAAAAAATGCTAGCATCCTCCTCGGCCAGGAAAGTGCTACAGCCCCAGCTGCAGCCAGCATCATCGGACAGGAGAATCTCCACAAAACAGAGACTGAATGTCTAAATGTCCAAAGTAAAGAGATGGCTTTGGCTAGAGAGCCAAGATAGTGGGAGGTGGAGCCTCAGGCTGGGAAAACTTGTCCACCTTGGGGCTTTGGTCCACAGACACACGAGACTCCCGCAGCTGGGCACACGATGTTCATTCTGCTGCCTGCTTCAGGGTCAGCTCCTGCTGTATGCCAGGCATTTATAGGGCTTAATACAGGATTTCAGGTTCAGACAGACTCGTTCCGCATTCTGGCTATATTACTGACTAGCTATGTGATGGTGGATGAATCAATTAATTTCTGTGAATCTTGTTTATTTTTACAGTCATTTAAGATGAGATTAACATCAGCATCCACATCACAGGAGTCATAAGAATTAATGAGAGGATCAATGAGGTTGCTTTTTGCCACCTTTTTGTTTGGGAACCCATTCCCGCAAATCCACCAGCTCAGTGTGCCTCTGAGGCCCCCGCCCTTGGGTCCTGGGGATAAAGAAGTGGCGTTGTGTTCCAGCCATGGCACTGATTGAAGGAACTTCCCCACAGTTTTGGAGGCTCCGAGGGGCCCCAGGGAATGAAGCATCCACAAAGCTGGTGCAGCATCATTAGGGGTCTTTTCCAGGGACCCTCAAGGAGAGAACAACCCAGACCAGCAATTAACTTCCCTGAATGTTCCAAACAGGCCAGGCCCAGCAGTGAGGGGATCACAGAACATGACCTTTCCCTATACCCACAGAACATTAGCTGATCAGGCACTTCCTCATTTTGCAAAGGAGGTAGGCTTGCCAGGTTTAGCAAAGAAGATACAGAATGCCCACTTAAATTTAAATTTGGGATAAATGACCAAAACAAAAAAAATTTTTTTTAGTATAAGCATGTCCCAGTATTGCATTTTTTTGTTTGTTTATCAGAAGTTCAAATTTAACTGGGTTTCCTGTATTTTATCAGGCAACTCTGAGAGGGGAGCTCGGTGGGGTAAGGGAGAGCAAGTTGTCACACCGCAAGTCCTCCTGTTCATCCCCAGGCTACTGCCCCCACCAGCCCAAGATACACCCCAGCTTTCCTCCTGTTCATCCCCAGGCTACTGCCCCCACCAGCCCAAGATACACCCCAACTTTCAGATTTTTACATAAGGCGAATGCTTGCCTGGCTGGATGCCTCGGATTCCTTGTGTGTTTTACAGGAGAAACCAGTGATTCCACTCTTTCAAGAGGAGAAACAACACACAGAGCAGAGAGGGTGCAGGAGCTAGGTCAGGGCCCAGAGAGAGTTAGGTCGAGTCCAGGCATTCTCCCAGCGAGGGTGCGCATAGGCCGGACATTCCAACTGCTCTGGGGCTCAGTTTCTTAACTAGCAAATGGGCACGATGAAGCCTATTTTCAGAGGGTTCCATTAAGGATCCACTGAGATGAGCAGTTCCCGAAAAGTTGGTTGCCTGTTAACTGTTTTTGTCATGACCCTTGAAGGTGGACTAAGGGGCTTGGTTGAGCAAAGCCGAACGCTGCACCCCAGCTTCCCCACCTCCGAATCCCAAGCGGCACTGGGCTGAATCCCTGGCCCGGCCCACAAAGCCGGACCAAGTGGTCCGTCCCATCCGGGTTTACGGGAACTCACACCAGCGATCAATCATCCTTAATTTGTAACAGGGCAGTGTCCTGGGCCAGCCAATAGCTAAGACCGACCCCCCCCACCCCCGCCACCCGCCCCACGCACACCCCACCCTCCCTGACCCTGTGGGACTCTCCCCTCAGTCTGCACTGAAGCTGCCCAGCGACCAGGAGTTTGGAGCAGGTTTGGTGCTGAGTTGGGGGAACGAGGCCCGAGGTGTGGGGGCTTCTCTCCTTTCCCTCCCCAGTTCCCGGCCCCCTTTCCTCTCCGCAGTCTCTGTAGGCTTGCGCCCCCAGAGGACCTCTGGCTCCCCTCCCCGGCACCCGCCCCCAGGACTGCTGTCCCCAGCCCACCCTGACCTCCCCGCCTCCCCCTGCCTCTGGCCTCATTGTCTGGCTGAAGCAGGATCCCGGGATGGAACAGATGGACAGAGACCCGGGCCTGGGGGGAGAAGAAGGGCCAGCCGGTGCCGGGAAGGAGCAGCGGTTCGGGGAAAACAAACAGAGGGAGGAGCCCGGGAGAAGGTGGCCCGCGAGGGAGGAGGAGGGAACTGCCTGCGAGGGGCTCGGCCGGGAACGGAATGGGGGCGGGGCACCGGGCCGGCCTGGCCCCGACGCTGGCTGCTCCGCAGGTCCTGGCTGACGACGCCGCCCCGATGGCCTCCAGGCTCACCCCGCTGGCCCTCCTCCTGCTGCTGCTGCTGGCTGGGGTGAGTGCCCCTTCGCGGGAAGGGGAGGCTGAGGGTTAACCCTTCGAGGCCCAGAGAACCAGGCGAGCACCTCCTGGCACCAGCCATCGCGACCTCTGCTGCGAGCCGCCTGCCCCGACAAAGTGGAGAATAAAGCAGAAGGGTCAGAGCAGGCAGCACAGAGACAGCGCTTTGTGGTACCAAAGCCGGGGGCTGTGTGGAAACCTGAGCTGTGCCCTGGGGGCTTGGCTGCCGAGACGCGGCACCCCCGCGTGGGGCCGGCGGAGGCGGGAGGGGTGGCGGCAGACACACCTGGGTCTGGGTGGCACCTCAGCAGGAGAGGCCCCAGAGGTCTGGGAGGTCGGGGCTGACTGACAGCCCAGGAGAAGGTGGATGCTTACCCTGGCACCTGTGTGTGTGGAAGGTGGCATTGGCGGTGCCCTCTGAGATGCAGCTGGTGATGGGGTAAGAGCAAGGGGTCTGGAAGCAGAGACCCAGGTTTGGCTTCGTTTTTTCTCCGGCTTCTGTGAGACCCTGGGTTAGTCACTTCACATGTCTCAGCATTCGTTTCTTTGTATCAGTGCAATAGGATAATACAAGCTTTCTCACCCCAGGAGCCATGGACAGGGGGCTGGATTATCCACTGCTATGAGGGGCTGGCCTGTGCATCCTGGGATGTATCCATGGCCTCCACCCAGTAGATGCCCAGTAGCACCTCTGCCCCCACCCCCATTCCTTTCCCTTTCTTATGATAACCAAAAATGCCTCCGACATTCCCAAATGTCCGCTGGGCCTCAAAGTCGGCTGACTGAGAGCCCCTGCCCTGTGTTATTTCTTCCTCCCCTCTTTCCTTTCTCCTTTCTCCCTCCTTCCATTCTCCCCTCCCTTCCCCTCCTCCCACCCTCCCCCTTTCTTTTTCCCTTCCTTCCTTCTTTTCTTCCTTTCTTCTGGAATGCTGGTTGATTTCAATACCCACTGATGGGTTGCAACCCATAATTTGAAAAACCACAGGTAACATAGATTAATGGCAGTTGATACTCAGCTCCCAAGTCTAGGGAACAGCTTCCTATAGAGCAGTAATTGCTCAGAGGTTAGAGTTCCTGCCTCCTCCCCATCTGAAGGGAATAACCTGCCCCCATCCCACGCCTGCACCGCTCTCTGAGGGAGTTAGTGGTCTTCGCTCCAGGGCAGACCCCTCACCCACCAGCCTTCCCCAGGAATTATTTTCCACATCCCCACATTCTCTTCCTGCTTTGAGTGTTTGAGGGGACTGTGGTCACAGTTAGAAAAATGAAACTCGGTTTCTTGACCCACAGGATGGAGCCTCCTCCTCAGAGCTGCATGGTACCAACCACAGCTCCACACATCCAGAGCGCTTCCAAGAGGAAGGCAAAGAGAGCGTCTCAGAGGGAGATAAACCCAAGAATCTATCTGTTCAAAGCACCGTGGACTCTCCCACCTTGCTGGAAATTAACTCAACCATAATAGCCAATTCCACTCTTGAATCCACGCAGCCCACGACTCAGTCCAGCCAGCCAACCACCCAGCCCACTACTGAGCCCTTATGCCCAGGACCCGTCACCTCCTGCTCTGACTTGGAGAGTCAGGTGGCAGAGGCCCAGCTGGGGGAGGCTCTGATGGATTTCTCTGTGAAGCTCTACCACGCCTTCTCCCAGATGAAGAAGGCTGAGACCAACATGGCGTTTTCCCCATTCAGCATCGCCAGCCTCCTCACGCAGGTCCTGCTTGGTAAGAGCCTGAGTTCTTCCCAGGTTGTATGTTGGGCACTCCCATGAAGGTCCCCAACCCATACCAAGCCTTGCCTCAGAAGGAAGCTGGAAAAAGGGACTACATTTGCAGGGCAGGGGGTGAATCTTTTCATGTGTGTACTTTCATTTAGTCCTTCATTTAACAGTGACTTAATAGGCATTATTGCTTTTAAAACCCAGTGATGGTTAAGATATATTTACCCAAAAAATTAAGCAGACAGCCCAGTGCCTGACTTGGTGGGAGGTCAAAAAATGTTAACCCCTCTGTCTTCCTGAGGGATTATTGTCAAGTCCCCTGGGGTAATTAGCATAAGAATGACACAGACAAGTTGTTAGAAACAATTTTTCACTCCAAGGGGAAATTGCAGGAAGGTTACTAGAGATAATAGAGTCAGCATATGAGAACTTTTATCTGGGGTCCCAGAATCCTAACACCCCTGGCCTCCACCCACTAGATGCTAACAGCACCCATCCCAGTTATGATCATCTAAATGTCTCCAGACATTGCCCCATGTCCCTTTTGGAGGCACATTTCTATTGATTGGTTTTGGTTAATTTCTTTACTGCCCAAAAGATATGGCTTGAATCCTGTCTCTGTCCTCTATTTACTAACTCTGTGATTTTAAATTGAGTAGATTACCTAATCTCTTAAACTTCCTTATCTGTATATTGGGAATAGTAAATTTCCTTATGTGAAAATGTTGGTGTGAAGATTCAATGAGGTAATATGGGAGGAAGACTTTTGATGCCTGGAACCAAATAAATGCTCTAGTGCTGCATAGAAGATAGGTACAATAAAAGTGTAAATCCTGGATAATGGAAAGAGTATTGAATATCTTTCCTATTCTATTATTTTCTGATGTCTCCTCTTAACAGTGACCTAGTGTCTCTGACAATAGGGTGAACTTCTGTAAACCCAAACCAACAAAAGAACAGTTAATGTGGGACAGGCCGTGATTGGACCAGGCTTTATAGGACAAGTGAGATTAACATAAATTAGAAAAGTGGGGAAGGAAGGTGTTCAAAGCTCTGGAAAAGCCTAGCTGGGATTATTCATAATTCCCCCACCCCTTTCTTTCTGACATGTATTGTCTTCCAAAACATCAATTCTGGCTCTGATGATACCTGCCCTTTGCTGTAGGGGCTGGAGACAACACCAGGAAGAACCTGGAGAGCGTCCTGTCCTACCCCGAGGACTTTGCCTGTGTCCACCAGGCCCTGAAGGCCTTCTCGTCCAAAGGCTTCACCTCGGTCTCTCAGATCTTCCACAGCCCCGGTGAGTGCCTGCGGAGCGGCAGCAGCTGCTGAGTAGGGTTCTGAGGACTGTGAGGGGGACCTTGCCCTGGGGAGAAAGTGGTCAGAAGGAATGTTAGAGCCAGAACATCGGGGACGGAGTGCACAGCTGTGAGGTCTCACCAGCATGGTCAGGTGGCTCCAGGGCCTGAATGGTTCCCCTGGTGAGACCTTGGGCAAGTCCTTTGTATTCATCAGCTCGGGGTAGACCAAGAATGTCCTCTACATTCATTAATAGACAGGGTTAGAGAGCTCTAGACATAATGAAATAAACAAAAAATAGTTGTTAATCTGGGTTGGGGAGGCTTGGGACTCTGATTCTTTGTACTTTTGTGTTACACGAATTTGTGGTCATTTACACGTGTTACATTTTTAAGTAGGTAATAAGCAATAAGTGTCCAGAATGATCCCAATTTTCAGATTTTGTTGCCCGGAGCTCTAAGGTTCTGCAGAGCCACTCAGGATTCAGGGGGGCAGTGGGCCACCACGGAGGCAGGGTGAGGAGTGGGTACCACTCCTGGGACAGCAGCAGGAGTCAGCTGGGCTCTGAGCTCCACCCGGCCTCAGCTGGAGACCTTTCATGTTGTGGGCTTCAGACATGACTTTATTTGAAAACAGTTCTGCTGCTGAAAAAGCTTTGAAAACTACAGATCTCATCTGATCTCACCCCCACTCCTTTTAGTAAAGGGAAGATTTTTTTTTCTTGTCTTTTTTTTTATACTTAAAAGCAATATTCACTGTAGAAAACTGAGGAAATACAGAGAAGCAAAAGAAAGAAAACTCCCCTATCACCCCATTATTTTTTCAAAAAACCTTTTTAGAGATGGAAAAATATGGTTCAGAGGTGTTCAAGAAATACTGCGTTTACTTACTTGCTATAAATCAACTTTATCCTCTGTTTTGCTAGGTGGAAAACATACCTGTCTTTAATATTATCTGATTTGTCCAGGAAAATTTTTCTCTTTCTAACACTATTTTCTTTAGTGGACTTGGGCTTTGGAGAGGAAAGACCAGGAAATCTTGTCCCAAACTTCCACTGAGGCTGGGAGTCAGAGTCTGTTCCCTACTGAATCTGGGGAGAAAAGAGGGAAAATACAGGCCACTGGAAATTCATGATGTCTCAAAGACTTGTCTTGCTAAGCCATGGTCACATGGCAAGTAGCTACAGCAAGGGCCCAGGATGAGTTCTGCTGTCATTTAGGGTTTGCCTTCTTTGGGCCTCATTTGCCACATCTGTAAGAGGAGCGGGCTAGACCCCAGTTCCAATCTGCTGTGTTTGTTGCAGTGAGCAAAAAGTGATGGGAAACACCCCCTCTCAAAGCCTTCCCTTGGCAGGGGAGAGGGAGTTCTGGGGCTCAAACCACCCTCTCTTGACCTGGCCCCTGCCTGCAGACTTGGCCATAAGGGACGCCTTTGTGAACGCCTCTCAGAGCCTGTACGGCGGCATCCCCAGAGTCCTGGGAAATGATAGTAATGTCAACCTGGAGCTCATCAACACCTGGGTGGCAGAGAAGACCCACCACAAGATCACCCAGCTGCTAGACAGCCTGCCATCCGACACTCGCCTCGTCCTCCTCAATGCTATCTACCTGAGTGGTAAGGGGTCTTCCCTTCCTGAGTCCTTCCTCCCCTCCTGGCTTCAAAGCCCAGCCATCCCCAACTTCCACAGCTGGACCCCATTGTGCCCGTCCCTTCCCTTACTCACAGGGCTTTTAGGTCTTCTTCACCCTCTTTCCACCTGCCTTAGAGTAACCTCCCACTCTCCTCCCTCTAGCCAAGTGGAAGACAGCCTTTAAACACCAAAAAACCCGGTTGGAGCTCTTTCACTTAAAGTCCTCTGTGATAAAAGTGCACATGATGAATAGCAAGAAGTACCCTGTGGCCCATTTTACTGACTCGACTTTGAAGGCCAAGGTGAGCTCTTGGCCCTTCCCACTCCTGTCTCAGAGTCTCTTGCGTGTCCTGATTTCTTTTCTGCTACAGCCCCATCGATTTGGGGTTCCCCCCTTACTAATTCATCTGTACTCCTTCTATCTGTATTTCCACCCTGTCTTTTCTCCTTTTCCCCTCTCCAGCCTTGGCCTGGGGCAGGCACTGTATATTTTAGGCTGGGAAGCAGGATTCTAAAGGTTCTTCATTCATCTCTCCTGCATCGAATGACAAAAAGTAAGTCATGTTCCTATTTTGTGCATCTGTTTCTCCTTCCAGTCAGCCCACCAGGAGACCCTGGTGGCTTAGTAAGGTCTGTGTATGTGTGTGTACCTGTGGAAAGCATGTATATGTGTATGTTCACAAGTGTAGGGCTAGCCATGTGTGCATAAATATGGTGGTAAGTGCATGTGTTAAATGGCTTAAGTTCCTTAGCAGAAAGTGAACAGTATAATTTCAATGGATAGGGCAGGAGGGAAGAAAGAATATGGAGCCCAGGGGATTCTAGCGAGTAAAGCCATCTCATGCCCAATGACCGGCTATATCTGCCTTAGGACAGCAAGACACAGACCTATGAGATAGAAAACAATAGGAGACACCCAATGACTTAATGCCAGATGAAGAAGTTCAGGATCTGTTCTGGAACATGCTAGGCTTGTCTCCACCTTGAGGGCTTTCCTTAGCTTTTTCATCTGCCTGGAACCTTCTTCACTCACATTTGCACATAACTTGTTCCTTCTGCTCATCCAGGTGTCAACTCAGAGGTCACCTTGGTGGAGACTTCCCCCTCCCTAGAGTAGCCCCTTCCTCCACCTGGAACATGGCCCTGTTTTATTATATTCATGGTACTATCACTATCAGAAATTATGTTGTTTATGTGCTTATTTTATTACACATTATCTATCATCCTGAGATACAGTCTCTCTCTTTGAGAACAGAGACTGTATCTGTCATGTTGCCTGCAACATACCCGGGGCCTTGACTAGTGCAATATAATGCAGTAAAATATAATAAGTACTCATTATGTTTGTTGGATAAATGAATGTGTTCAATGGAAGGTGCTAAAGGGAGCAACTCACTTGGTATGAGTGGCTAGGAAGGCTTCATGGAAGAGGTGACTTTCGGCCACTGTTAACCATTCATGCACTTTTCTACCCTTTCATCCATCCCTATCTAATGCATAACTATTAAACCAAATAAGAATTGCATGTAAAGGCAGAGAAGCATGAATATTATGGCATGTCCATACTAACTCAGAGTATGTGAGGTTTTTTTTTAATACCAAAAGAGTAGTAGTTTTGTGCATAAAGAATACTATTTACAGTTCCTTGGGTTTTAAACAAATATTTGATTTAATGTATTAATGTCACAAAATCAAAATCAAAGTCTTAAACCTTTTCATATAAGCTGAATGTGCTACATTACTTAAATGTAATATATTTTTATTTATATAATTTTTACATATAATTTTATTATATATTATATATTTATATAAAAACACTAATTTTCATTTGTTCTTGAAGCCATGTTGAACAGTTCAAACTCCTTTAAACCACTTGTTCATTCCATTTACAGACATGGTTTATTAATATTTCCATAAGCATTTCAAGCTTATGGGTATACTTGGCTTTATAAATATACTTTATAAATATTATACACTTGATTTTCTTTTTAAGCATATCAAGGGTAGAGTTACAACCCTGCTTGGCCATGTCTTCCAAGTACCTAAAGCCCACTGTGAATTGAAAATTAAATTTGGAGAGTAAAATCAATTTTCAGTCAACATCTCAACATCATTCTCAAACTTAGTGAAATTGTCCTGTATCTTTTTGCTTAAAAGTATGTCTAATGCTCTTAAAGATTATAAATGCTATTTTAAATAACAAACACACAGATTCTCTTGAATGTATCACCTGGTGTTAACACTGTGGGTTTGGTTTACTTTGTCATTCCCATTCTAAAGTCTAAATATTCCTGGGAATTAAAAGTATTTACCCGACTTTGGGCGTTAGATTTACCAACTCAGGTATGCTGAGGTTCTGGCTTGAAAATTCAAGAACTACCACATGATAATCTTTTGGTCAGAGACAAGGAGAGCCTTTTAGGGGCCTACGTCAGCAGGGATCCTATGTCCGCACTCTATGTTTGATAGCCTGCTTCTTCTGAGGCCATGTTTTCACATTCTAACAACTGATCCATTTCAGTTAATTTTTTTATCGCAGCTGAATTCTGTATTCCAAATTCTTGTCCCTCTTTCAGTCTCAACCGTAGTGCCATTTTAATGGTAGTCTTTTATATCCTATTTCAGCCTTGCCACTGTTGACATTTGGGTCAGATAAGTTTTTGTTATGGAGCACTGTTCTGGGCATTGTGTAGGGCTGCTGTCATCCCTGCCTTCTAAACTGCTAGATGCCAGTCGAACTGTGGGCCCCCCACCCTTCCAGCTTGTGACAATCAAAATGTCTCTAGTCACTGCCAAATGCCTACTGGGATCAAATGCACCCCTATACTAGACCCGTGAGTCCTGCAGTTGTCTCATACTTTTGTCTGGCCGCCATGTAGAGTTCCTTCTAATGACAAACTGGAAGGGTAGGCTAGGATCAGCTTGTGTACAATCTTGAATACCACACTAAGATTTATACTTAATCTCATAGATGGCAAAGAGCCACCAAAAGTCTTTACAAGGACTGACCTGATAACTGGTGGTACGTTATGCATGTAAAGTATGCATATACTTTATTCATAACACACTTGAGAGAAAGGGAACAGGGCTCCAAGATCAAGTCTCCTACCCCTTTTCACATACCAGTCAGTCGTAGTTGGGGTGTGGTCCTTGACCCATGTGATCAGAAACTCGTGCTCATTCCTCCAGATCTCACCAGCACAGGCTTGGGCAAGCACTATTCACCCCATTGGCATCCCCAGTGGATGGCAAAGCCTGGGAGCCTATGCCTGGCTACTGCTTATTGAAATAGTACAGGCTAATGCAGTGGACTGAAGATAAGCCCTAGGACACGGAGGGTGGGAGTCAGGAGAGGGCGAACGTAGGAAGGCTGAGAAGGTGCATCTCCTGTTCTCCAGGTGGGACAGCTGCAGCTTTCCCACAACTTGAGCTTGGTGATCCTGATGCCCCAGACCGTAAAACAGAGCCTGGAAGACATGGAGCAGGCTCTTGACCCCACCGTCTTCAAGGCCATCATGAAGAAGCTGGAGTTGGCCAAGTTCCAGCCCACTCTCCTGACGATGCCCCGCATCAAGGTGAAGAGCAACCAGGACTTGCTGGCAATCATGGAGAAACTAGGTAAGCCCAGAAGCTTGGGGTTGCTCCTAGGCCATCCAAGCAAAAAGCTAAGGAGGGGGGTGTCCCTAAAATCCACTTTGCACCCTAGCATGTTTTTTGCATCCATGGTCTGAGGTTGTCTCTCAATCCTGTGAGGCAGAGGAGCAGGTGCTGTTATCCCATTGGATCGTTGAGGAAATTGAGACTCAGATGGTTTACATGACTTATCTAACATCCTGTGAGCTAGTTAGATAGACGTGAGCCAGAACACAAACCCAGGTCTCCCTTGACTGTTTCCACTATGGTTCACTGTGACAGAAACTCTGGGAAGGTAACAGAGACATTGCATAACACTCAGCCAACCAGTGAAATGTGCAAAAAGCTATCTGGGTAAGAGGGTCTGGGAGGCTTTTGAGTTTAGGAGAGGCAATAGAGGCACTATTTCCTAACCTCTGGGCTCACTTCCTGACCTTTGACCTCACATCCGGATACATTGCTTCATTTTCTGTTACAGAAGTTGACATCCTAATAGATGGTCTTACTTCCTACTAAATGACATCATACCCTTGTATATGACCTCATTTGATAACATCACCTCTTTCTGATATATTACCTCACTTCCAAGGTCCTTGTTGACAAGGAAGCAATGACATCATTTTTCAGGGTTTCTGGGGGGTCGGGCCTCAGCCTCTCACCTCCTCAGAGATATTGGTGGTTGGCGTAAAGATGGGCCCACTGTTGGAGGCTCCCACGAACTGCACCAATTTGACATGCCAGGGAAAAAGAGGAAGAAAGTACTGACACTTGGGACAGGGCAGGAAATCCAGGACAGAATGCTGCGGCAGCTGAGGCTTTCATGCAGCGATTTGACTCAATGTTTCTCTCTGGTTATGCCCTAGACTTCTTTGACTTCACTTACGACCTCAACCTGTGCAGGCTGACGGAGGACCCAGACCTGCAGGTGTCTGCAATGCAGCACCAGACCGTGCTGGAGCTGACAGAGTCTGGTGTGGAGGCAGCCGCAGCCTCAGCTGTCTCCGTGGCCCGCAATTTGCTGCTCTTTGAAGTACAGCAGCCCTTCCTCTTCCTGCTCTGGGACCAGCAGCACAGGTTCCCTGTGTTCATGGGGCGGGTATATGACCCGAGGGCCTGAGATCTGCAGGAGGCCAGCCCAGGTGAGCCCCACTGCTCAGCCTCAGCTCTCCCCAGCACAGCCCTGCGGCCACCTGCCTGGACTTGGCTCCAGGTTGCCCCCTGCCTCAGGTGACCTCTGCCCTCCACCTGAAGGGCTCCCTCAGGGTCTGGTGAAGAGACCTGCTTTTGTCATCCCTTGCCTGTGGCTCTCCAAACCACTTTTTGCAGCTTTCTCTGGTTCATGTTCACCAGACTCTACAAATAAAACCTGGCAGACGATGATTTCCTCTCTCATTTGCCTTTCAGTGTTACAGGACAAGGGCTACCATGGCTCCTGTACCAGCTAACTATTGCTATGTAACAAATCAGTCCAAATTCAGTGGCTTAAAATAGCAACCATTTATTATTTCACATGGATCTTGGAGTTGTCTGAGTGGTCTTGCTGGTCTGGGCTCAGCCAGGCTGATCTTCCCTAGGCCTGCTCATGCATCTGTAATAGCTGATGGGATGGTTGGGGGATGTCCTCAGCTGGGACACTTGGCTCTTCCCTGCATGTCTCCTGCATCCTTCCAGCAGGTACCTGCAGTGACATTTACTAAGCATCTGCCCCACATGAAGATTTGATTTTCTAACCATGTCTCAGCTTAGGTTGAGCTGGTCCTGGAGATTTTTTGCAAGGTCGTGACTTCTGTAAGGCCATCAAAGCCACCAGAATATATCTCTACTCACATCACTGCTGCCCCCTGTTCCAGGGACTTATGCCACCTGCAGAATCTGGCTTCCCCATCTGCCTCACTGAATACCCTGGTGATGAGAAACTGAGGCATGGGGGCAATGTAACTGACCCAGCTGGGTATGGCAGCCAGGCTCACAGCTAGCTGGGTATGGCAGCCAGGCTCACAGCTCTCAGCCCTTTGAGCTGCTCCCTTTTTCTATGGCCCTGGATCTAGGGGTACCAAGCTCAGGGTTGAATGCAGGATAAGAAGTGACCAAAACTTCCAGTAAGCATCGGCAGGACTGGCACTTGATGGATTCTGATCACCAAGCAGGTTCATTCCCAAAAGTCTAAACTTTGGTCACTGCACCCCTAGTTCATGCATGTTCTGGTTGGGGCAGGGATTTCTGAAAGGGGGAGGAAGAAGATGGGGAGATTCATGGTTTATCCCCTTCCCTGCCAGTTCATCTACTACAGCTTGCTTCCTGCTCTCAGACTGTGCTTGTGGACCTGGCTCCCGATGTGGCTGTTTCTGAAACAAAACCTCAGGATGCCAGATCCAAGGTGAGAGGAGTCCCTTGCAGCTCAGTCTCCCAGCCAAGACTGAGAACCAGACAGGAGTCACCCAGACTTGATTTAGTATCTCTGTAGGCATGGAGGGATCACTACTTCACAACAAGCTTGATTTGCAGAGTGACCTCTGCATGGCCATCCCTTCTCAGGGCCCCCACATCAATCTCAGGCTACTGGGAAGCTGTCAAACTCCTGTCTGGGCTGGTCCCATACTGATTGTTACGTGAGGAACTGTGGAAAGCAAAGGTACCTCCTAAATTCAGGAAGATTCCCCCCTCCTTGAGGAAATCCTGACTTGATAAAGATGGTGCTAGGCACAATCTGAAATGTGAACTTTCAGAACATAGAAAGTGATTCTGCCCCATGGACATCGTTCTTGGCAATTCTTTTTTGACCTTCCATACCCTGCTGAGAACCAGGTATTACCCTGTTTGTGAGATAAGGAAGCTGAAACTAAGGTCAAGGAACTATCTAAAGGTCACACAGCTGTAAATTGAGCCCACATGTGTCTGAATTCAAATATCCTAAGTGGCTTATTTGGCCAGGCTTATTTCCTTTCTTTCCAAACTAGACTATAAATCAGATCCATGTTTTCTTATGCTCTGCACCATGTGCCTCCACCAAGTCTATCAAAGTGTCTTACACTAGAAAAAGAAAAAACAGGAAATCTATTGAATGAATAAATCATATCCAAGTAGTGAGCAAAAGATTTTTATTCATCTGAGGGAAAGTGTAGAAAATCTGGAAGTGAAGAGAATTTGAATATTTTCTGTTTTGAGGCTTTTCTTGTAGGAGGGTGCATGTCACTTGTTTGGTTTGTTTATTTAAAACAAACATTTATTTATCTGGTGAGTCCTTGAGTCAGTGTCAGCCTGTCAGGTTTAGGGTGGCCTTGGTTATATGCCTGATACAGTCAGCCGGTGGGTTAGCTAGAGGGTCCGATGAGGTTTGGCTTTGCTGAGCTTGTAACCTGTCTTGGTGGAAGTGAATCAGCTGACCGACTCTGCTCCATTTGGTCTCTCATCCTCCAGGAGGCTAGTCTGGTCTTCTTCACATGGAGGTTGCAGAAGTCTATAAGTGAGGAAAGGCACGCAAGGCCTCATGGTTCTGACACCAGAAAGGACTATCATATCACTTCTGACTCATTTTGGCCAAAGCAAGTCACCAGAGCAGCTCAGAATCAAAGCGTAAGGAAGAAGTCTCATTTCTTAAGGAAAAGACCTGCAAAGTCACTCTGCAAGCAGCATGGATATCAGGCAGTGTGAATAATTGTGGCCACTTTTCCAATCTACCATAGTGGTCTTCTGTATGTATAGAGAATCTATAATGAGCAACTTTCCCAAGCAACTTGCTGCTCTCATGTTTTCCTTAAGGAATCAAGGGATTTTGTCTATATCATATTAATATTAGAAATGGTTTATTACTTGAAGTTTCAAGTCACTTGCATATAATTTTACTCTTCTGCTGCCTCTGTGGCATACTTACCAATCCCTGGCTCCTTCACTGTCCTGTGTCGCTTTTGAGAAACACAGAAGGTTATACAGTCATAGACACACACACACCTAAAACCCACCCCACCTCACGCCCTGCCCTGCGGTCCTACTGTGGGATAGACAAGGTTCTGTGTGTTGGCCAGCCTAGTTCCAGTGATCTGCTTCCCGTCCCCAACAACAGTTTCTGAAAGAAAGCAGAAGCGTTGATATGGTTGCATTGCAGTTATTCCTTTCTGCCACATGGGGTCACTGCTGAGACTTTGTCCTGCATAGCCTTTTGGACACGTAATTTCCCAAGGTTCCAGATTCTTAAACAGCCAATAAGGGGGGATTTAAACTTTAGTTCTAAGGTGTACGGTTTCCACTTGTTCAGCTACTCTTTGCCCAAGATGGATACCTCCAGGTCCCTAAAAACCCTAAGGGCCAGATGGATAACTACAATAGCCCAACAAATACCTAATACCCACTGACCACTTTACAAGCTCTCAGGTGCTAAGAATTTTCCACCGATTCTGTAATTTCATTTAAGGAGAGATCATAAACCTTATGAAAAGAATATGTTAACCGAAGCCGTTGGAACATTCAAGACTTACATAACTTGACAGTATGTTTTCCAGAAGAATAATGATAAGAGGTAGGGAGAGGAATGTTCAGCCACTGCAGATTATTTTTTCCTTCATGATACTATTTATTCACTAAACACTAAAATCTATAATGTGTCACAGAATGACACTGCTTGGCATGTCATGACAGATCTTTGAGCTTTTTCATAGTGTCTTATCATATCTAACTTCCATTACAAAATTATTGATTTTAGAGAGCATCTTTTGGCACTAATGCCAGCGCTTAATGAACTCTGAGATAATATCATTCTAGGATACAGAAAATATTTTAAATGATAGTGCTGAATATTAATATAGCAGCACATTAGTCATTAGTGTCAGTGTCAGAAGATATGATGTGCATAAACAGCTTGATTTGCAAAATATGAGCATTGATCTTAGTTATTTACTTTGCCAGCTCAAATGACGATCTCATGTTGCAATAGTTGTAAACACAGTCTACAACCCACTCAGCTTACCAATTCTAAATGATGTAACTTGGGTGACTTTTTAGGGGGAATTTGCAGTTTTTCAAATTTACATAATGCAGATTTACATAATATATGGTAGCACCACACCATTATTATCCCCTTTTTGCAGATGAGAAATGAAGCAATTAATCTACTCCTTCAAGGTCTCATAGCTGATGAACTGTGGAGGTGGGAGTAGACCCCAGTGCTTAGTAACCCAGATTCCATTTCTTTCAAGGTAATTTTATCTTAGGGAACTTACTGGTATTCCTTGTCCTAAACCTTGGTTGAAAGTATACTCATCCATCCCAAAAGTTCTCCACAATTTTGAATCTTAGAATTGTTGGGGAAATAAGAATTCCCCTTATCCCAGAAAAAAGCATATGCAAATTAGGATATGTCCTTCTTCCTGACCTGCTTTGTCTACCAGGGACCTCAGGGAGGGGCAGCTTCCATAGCAGCATGGATGCTTCTGTTATTTCCTCCCTCAGGACAGGAGCTGCCCACCCTTCTAATCAAGTACTTTCTTGAAACTGAAAGTCTGCTTCAAGTGACCCAGCCAAAAGTCTAGTAGTTTATGTATTCTTCTCAATGCATATTTAATCTTTGTCTTGACTGGAAACCTAACACCCCTGCACACTCACATGCATGTAAGGACACGCCAACATACGTAGGTATGTGCATGTACACACAATCACTGATGCAAGCATCACAAATACACACATTCACACACATGTACAAAAGCACATGCACACCAGTTTCTGGAAGTCTGTGCTAGAAAACTGGGGTAAACTTTCCATCCAGCACAGAGAATGGCTTCCCAGGCATGGAGGTGCAGGGAACACTCCCCCATGGGAAGAATCTCAGAGCCAGTCAACACTAAATTGCAAGCCATGGAATAGGCTCATCCATCATCCCGGAGTGACAGGCTGGCTGTGCAGCCCGCCTCCTGGCCTCCCAGCCCCCTCCCCCATTCCACTCCGTTTCTCCTTGAGTGACCGCAGAATGGCTCCATGGAGTAGAAAATGTTTTCACCGAGTGTCCAGTCCTCTCAAAAATGATAAATATGGGCATGCTCTAGCTCAGCTGTCAGCCTTCTGCTCGTCTGTCCATACACTCTGAGAACTCATGAACTACCCCCCTTTCAAACAGGCTTTTACCATGTGTCCCACTTTGGGCTTCATTTTCAGTATTTCATTGAAACTTTGCAACAATCCTGTAACTTGGCATTGTTCTGCCAGATTTTCAAATGAAGAAATGGAGCTTCTAAGAAATGATGTGCTTAGGGTCACCCAGCTGGGAAGGCTAAGACTGTATTCAAACCAGTCAGCTATTTGCATGTCCCAGGGTCCCTGTGTTTCTCCCTCCATACCCCACCTCCGTGCGAGTGGCTTCCCAACTCACTGGCTCAGGGTTGAAGAGCTGACTT